AAGTATTCTATAATTTAATTTTATTATACAAAGTTAAACCGTCCATCACTTCATTTTTTTAAAAATATCTAATTAGAGCATAAAAAAAGTGAAGTAATCGAGCAAAAATTATTTAATGTACTGAAACATCCAAAGGAGTTATAGTGGAGAAATTACTGCTTGAAACTTAGAAAAATTAGGAAAAGCAATCAAAACTTACTAAAGAAAATGAGTGGTTAAAAAATGCCTAGCCCAAAACAACGGAGTCGGCTAATAGAGTATTTTTGGCTGATGAATGCGATTATAGTCATACTTTCCTAATTAATTCTTTTAGAATAAAAAATCACAGATTATTTCTTTCACAATAAAAAATATCTAATTTTATCTTCAAATGCTAGTACCTTTTTCAACTTAATTTCTGCTTTAGTTAATAATTCCGAAGGTAATACTCCTGCCTTACTAGGCAATAACCTTTTTTTACTAATTGACTTCACTTGCTCGCATACAATTTTGCTCTCTTTATAGTTATCAATCACTTTTCCGACATATAACTCAAACGGATAAATTTTTTCTACCTTGGAACTCATAGGCAAAACCACTACCCGCGAACCTTTTTCATTTTGTCAGTTATTCGAAATAATTATGGCGGGATGATTTTCCCGAATTTCTGTGCCGACAGTTTTGCCAAACTTTACTCAAAAAATATCTCCCCGTTTAATTATTATTTTACTCGTCATCCTCCAAATTTTCCCACGCTTCTGCTTCTTTTTCTCGTTCTTTATCTTGTGCTGCTAATTCATAGGCCTTTTTTCATTCTTCTTCCTCTTTCAATAAATAACTTCGCATTAGAATAATTATTTCTTCTTCGGTTATTTCCTCATTCTCTACCCGATATTTTAATTCTTGCAAAAATTCTTGCTTGTTAATTTGTCTTAATTGGGTCATAATATTACATTTTACTATTTATTCTCATAAATAAGATAAAAAAACCTAATTAGAGCATAAAAAATTTAGTAAGGAAATTTATGGAATGATTAAGGGTCTTGGAGAGTATGAAAAGTGGGAGAAGGTGAAAAGAAATTGACTAATAATTTAAGGTGGGGCTTCAATTATTAGAGGGAAATTTATTAAATTCTATTTTTTTGATAATCTCTTAATTTTTCTATTTTTTACCGCAAAATTGAAAATGGTAAGTATTAGTAAAGCAATCAGTAGCCAGAGAAGAAGAAATTTCGTCTCTCTCTCTCTCTCTCTATTAGTTAATGTGTTAATTTGGCTTTCTAAATGATTGAACTTATTTTTAATTAGTTGATTCCGATAATTTTCTGCTTCAGAAAGAGGAAGTTTATTTAACTTAGTCTTTTCAGAAGTAGTAATATTAAGACCTAATTTATTATTTTCCAAGTCTTTAATAATAACCTCTCTAATAATTTCTTTAACCATAGCATCTTCTTTCAGGCTTTCTTTATTGGAATTGGCAAGGGGAGGGTTTTTTAAGAGTTCTATTTCGGCTAATAATTCTTTTTCTCGTTGTTGTCACTCTTTCTGGGCTTGTTTTAACTTTTGGATAGTTTTTTTTTGCTTTTTGATTTTCTGCTCTTGTTTTTGGGATTTTTCTTTTTTTTGTTTGTTATCCTTTTTAGATTGACAGTAAAGAGCATTAAGAGAATTATAGTTGTCTTTTTCTGCGATTAATTCAGTTGCTAAGTCATTATTTTTTTGTTTTATCTGGTCGTAATCAGCATGAGTTAGAACATGACAACCTAAGCAATTATGAGTGTTAATTTTCCTGTATAAATCCTTAATCGTTTCCCGTAGTTTGTCATTCTGCTC